AGCTGAACACTCTTTAGTGCACACAGTAAAATGGTTAGGTTTGATTGCTGCAATTGCGAGTGATCTGAAAAATAAGGATAACTGGCCTAACGAAGTATGCTTTCAAATAACCGGAATACCAACTCCATTGGCATTTATATTAAAAATGAACTTGACAAGTTGATGCTCAAGAAGTCCATTGATAGCAAAACTAATTAAAAATTCTCCACAACATTCCCTATACCAATGAAAAAGTATAAGTTGAATCCACAAAAACTTTTTTCCCCAATGTGCTCCATCTGTAAAAATTAAATGTAAAGTTTAGAGCATCTATTTCATGATTTTGAATACTCTGTAGCCCTCTGGGATGAGTTAATGCTCTACTGGGGAGACTCGCTTGATATGGAATCGCGACCAAGCCAAATGTGTAGGGTTATTGCAGACCCAAAAGAATCATTGTTGGTTAATCAAATTTGTCTACTAACAAGAAAGCATCTTTATTTTTGTAAGATGAGAGGAATCAAACCGACATTTAAGGGTCTACAGTCTTGTATCCAATGTGAGAATGTTATTGCTAAACTAAATGGAATTCTGTTAAATATCTTCAAATAAGAATGTAATTTTACAAGAGAAATGTAACGTAACTTTATGCAGGATACCCGATAAAAATGCCATTAAAAAAACTACAATATCAAAATGCAGATAACTAAGAACTAAACGTACATAATCAATACTATTTAAAAGACTACGAATATTTCATTGACACATGTGTAAACCTTTACCAAGTACATCCTTTAATTTGAAAATGTTCACACTTGATTCACTGTCAGTAGGCCCAGGGTGTACATGAATGTCTCCAGACATCAACACCAGCAGTACTTCCAGCTGAATGGATCGTAGACACTGGTAGAAATAGTCCACAGAATTAATGCTTCTTTAGATACTCCTAAATGTCCAAGAGCATACAAATAACTGTAGATCTTCTCAAAAGGAGCAAAACCGGCGGTCTTTCAGAGAGTGACATCCAAAGCCTGCTTGCATCATCTGTAGCATTCACATTGGCATTTGCTGAAATCAACACTTCTGCTATAGCTGTATATCCACCACGTGCAGCATGGTGTAATGCAGTGCAGTTATACTAACTTGGATCTGGATCTACTGGTCGTTCTTCTGCCAGTGAATGTCTCACGCCATCAATATCATTATTCTCAGCAAATATATCCCGGATTGTTCGAGCTCTCGCGCCAAGCACAAAGGCGCAACTTTCCTCACCACTTTCTCCCACAGTTCCGAAGTATTCCACACAGGTTTAGATGTTCCAGAAAGTTTTATTACTCCATCAAAGGCACTTTGTAAACCGCCTTGATGCATTTATAAATGTCCGTTCCCACACACAGCTGAGAGATTGTCCCAGGGAAAGTTACAGAATACTATCAGAATCAATATAAATTGAATTGTATCCAAACATGGACAGCTGACAATTTGTGTCCTCACTAAATGATTTTGTGCTGGTCACATTCGAGTACCCCACACGTTGAACTCGCATAGTAAATTTAAGGAATTGCTTCATTTTGATTTACCCACAAACCCCATTGGCTCGTTTTTGTAAAACATCTTTAAGCCAGAATTTTATTATTCCTGGTTTTGCGAAAATGAAATAAAAATATATAATTTTATTTCAGCGTAATTTCTCGCGTCCGCCAACTTCTGAGTGCAAAAAAATGATAAAAAAATATTATTTTTATCTTCATTTTTTTACCGCCCGCCGCATAACAAATCCAAGTTGCATTTTCGTATCATGATAAAAGTACCGAAGTCTCGCGTACCGCAATTCAATATCAATGAAATTATCATCACTTTTAAAGTACATTTGAAGTAAAAGTGATACCCGCGTGCCGGAGAAATGACTACACCCGTGACCGATACATCGTTGACCATTAAGCGTGGACGACTAGACACAACGAAGGAAGTTTATTGGTAAACCTCTGTCAACACATTGTCCTAATTTCCATATTGATTAAGACATGGGTACAATTTTAATGTTTAGCTACCATAGTTAATGGACTCCGATTGAAATGGATAGTTCTTAATGGCGGCCATGTTTTTTTTCTAATGTTTACAATGCAGTATGCAAATTACCAGCACACGCGCGAAGCTATTAAGGGAGCAGTTAAACTAGATTAGGGAGGGAGGGATGAAATTCACAAATTTTAATATTAGTCTATAATTGTAAACAGTTTAACTAATATATTTTTGGCAATATATTCCATTTTAATTATCTAAATGTGTTTCACTGTATACAGTTAATCTTTATTTAAAAAATACAATGTTTTTTTGGGGGGTGAACACTGCAATCCAGTTCAAAGGGAATTTGACATACACTTACTACCTCTGCTAATTAGTCTTTTCATGCAATTCTATCTGTATTTATATTAAATGTATTGATTTTTTTTTTTGTATTTTTAGATATCTTGGCATCCATTTGGCTCAGTTGAAGTGAAATTTTCTACATATCCCTGGTTAGATTTTAATTAAAGTATTATGCACATCCTTGATATTTTTGGTGGAATGTGCATATTATTTTGACAATATTGTGGAGTGGAAACAGACTTGGGAATTAGTTCATTTTAGACTTTGGTAGAACATGTTTAAAATTTCTTTCTGGCTGGTATAAATATATTAATGTTTACGTACTAAAAAGACTCAAATACACAAATTCCTTTTTTTTAATTAAATTTAACAGGCAATGGGAACACGTATGCTACAACCTCTGCTTACTTTCTCAGAAAGCAAAGCCACTGGTACTGCATATACATGTATTACAAAAGGATACTATTCGTTGCATGTCTGACAATTGTATAAAGTTTCGTAGGTCCTCTTTTTTTTTTGACTTTGAGAAGTGCTGTCAACCAGAGCATAAATGTGTTTCTATGTACATACAAGTTCAATTTTCACACGTTTGTCGCTATCTGGTTTTCTTGCTAAAAATAATGCTGACCAGTGCTATAAACTTGAAAATGCCATAAAAAACTTGTTTGCCAATTGTTTCCATGCCAAAAACTGATTAAAGTATATGTAGCAACTTTCAAGTGACAAGCGAAGGCAGTGTCATTCATGACTTGTTTGATTGAATAAATTTTCACTGCTTGGCGGCCATTTTTATCCTAAAAAATCTAAAAAAACAAGCTTTTTCAAGCCGTAACCAGCTTTTTCTCAGATATGTGTCATCCAGTTTTGTTTAAAGTGTTGGTACAGAGACAGGTAATAATTTTTTACAAGTACATGTCGCGTTATGTGTTGATCAAGTTATTTATTTGGCTTTTCTGAGACAATTTATATTTTTTTACCCCGTCCCCTCAAAATTGTTCTACATCTATTCTGAACAATTAATAACGGAACTTTAGTACAACTCATAATGGATAAATTTACTGACACAAAATTTAAATCACAAAGTGTCACCACATTTAAGATTTTAGCACATAAATTACCAATTGAAAAATAAAGATACCAAAAAATACCCTCGGAGCAAAGATTTTGCACACTGTGCTCTGATCAATTTGTTGATGAAATGCATGCTTTTTTCGACTGCAAAATTCCAGTAAAAACACAACATTTACATCATCTATTTACAGTTTTTGCAATATGTTAATTCAGATTTTACCATGCAATAAATAAAACCAGTGACGTTTTAAATATTGATTTTACTGTTTGAGAGTGACAAATGAATGGGAAGTAATTGTGTGCAATGGAGAACCAGATGTTTCTACTTTTAGTTTTACAAATTTACCATATACCCACTAGGTGTAGTAAAGCCGAAGTGTTTTGTCATAACACAAATTTTTCAATAAGGGATTGTCTGTCAGAAACGGGCACATATGCATTGTAGTTTCCCCATAGGTTTCAAACTACAAACATGTAGTTCATGTTGGTGTCAATTTTACAAAAATAGCTAATATTTTGGTTGTTCGAAATTAAGCCAATTCAGATTTAAAAAATTATATAATTTT